AAATGCAATGTTAAAATTTTGTTTAGAATTTAACAGATTTTTTGTGGCAAATGAATTTAGAAAATATTTTGTGGTATCTTTTAAAGAAAACTCATTCAAAATTATGTATGATATCTTCCGTGCAATTTCTAATCACGTTACTAAGGAAAAAATGTTGAAGGAATATTATTAATAATTACATCACAATGACGGGAAATAATTTTTTTTTTTAATTCAAATTCAATGATTATTTATTATTTTCTCTCATCAAAAAAAAAAAAAGATGTCGAAAAATGAAAACAAAGATGATCTTTTATCTAAAAAACACGAGCATAATTCTTCTAACAATAAACAACATATTTCATCCGAAAATTTTGACGGTAAAGAATTTACGTTAGTAGATCCATCGGGTACATCCCATAAAGCCATATTATTTATTGAGAATAAAGTCCCGGAAGCAAATTCGAGTGATAAAAAAAAGAATGATCAAAATAATCAAGAAAAGGACAAGCAAGAACATGATCGACAAGAAAACCACAAAATTAAATCTGAGGAAGCTGAAAGAAAATTTAGATATGAGGAAAGGAAACAAAATAATCAAGATACAAATAAAGATGAAAGGAAGAGCAGCGATGCGCTAAAAAATTCTATAAAAGATACAAATAAAAATGAAAGGAAAAGTAGCGATGCGCAAAAAAATTCTATAAAAGATACAAATAAAGTTTCCATTAAGCGAGGTCAAAAATATGAAGAAGAAGAAGTGGAGACTCTACCATATAGCCCATATAAAACTCAATTACCTCCAACTTTTATGGCACCTTCATTAACATTTCCACCAACTGGTATTCCAACTGGCGTTCCACCAATTGGTGTCCCTTCAACTGGCTTCATTCCAACCAATATACAGCTACCTGATCAACCGATACAGCAGTCTTTAACAGTTCAACCGAATATATCACAAAATGAGACAGCCGATCGAAGTGCAATTATTGCTTTACAACAACAAATTCCAGGATTGACGCCCAATGAAGCAATGGCTACGATTCAACAATATCAACAACAGGGAATTCCACCAGAAGTCGCCATTGCTATGATTCAACAAACTCAAGCTCAGCAAGCTCAGCAAGTTCAGCAAGTTCAGCAATTTCAGCAAGCTCAACCTAATCAAGCTC